CGAGGTCCCTTCCAGCCCTAATGTCTATGAAATCTATGTGGGCCGGACCCGTCCCAGTGGGCTGCAACTCGGGCTGGGGTCCTGGTAGCTGTGTAGTGGATTGTTCCCAGTGCCAAGGCCGGGTCAGGCTGTCATGGAGCCACCGCTGGCTGGGAAGTGTCTGGTGGGACTGGCCTGGGTTGGGCCATAGGGACAGGGCCCTTCACAGTTGGCTGCAGATCTATGACAGACGGACTGGGTATGTGGGATGTACTAATCGTGCCCATGGCTGCCTGGGCAGGCTTGGAGGTGCTGGCAGTCCTGGAACCCAGCAGCCGCCCAGATGAATGGTGCGTGCCCAAGGAGGCTGGGGGGTACGTACGGCTGCGCCGGTGGGAGCGCCCAGTGATGATGAGCTCCTGCAGACACCGCTGGCACTCTCAGTGGCGGGGGGGATAGCAAGCGCTGACCATGGGTTGGTGACCACCCAAAGGCACCGCTGGCAGTGTTAGTGGTAGCCAGGGACAATCAGGGACCGCCTGCAGGCACCACCGACAGTGTCATGCCATGTGCACCCCCTACGCATCACCCCTGGTCACCCATCATAGGGGCTCGTGTGCCTGCAGCTACTGCACCCGCTGTTCATTACTGTGCAACACCTGACCAGCTGCAGCCGCACCAGAAGCTGCATGCTGGCTGGGGCTGGCAGGGCTGTTCTGCCTCTCTCGCCTCCAGCTGCTGCTACCACCCCTGCCCCTGCTGTGCCACTCTAGGTGGGCAGGCAGGAAGCTTCAGCCCAGCAGCTTCTGCCCAGTGCACGGAGCTCTGGCTCCAACTCCTGGCTGCCTTCCATCCACTTCCCTGCCCAGCATGATGAGCAGACCCTGCAGATGGGTGGGGTGGGTGGAAGGCATCCGCCCCACCCCCGCCACCTGGAACAGCAAAGCAGGTGTAGCAGTGGGAGGAGGAGCTGCCGCTAGAGGCAAGGGAGGCACAGTAGCACCCAGCCAGCTGCAGCCACACCAGGAACTGTCCCGCCAAAGCTGTGTGCTGGCTGGGGCCAGCAGGACTGTTCTGCTCCCAGGGTGGATAAAAATCAATGATTTAAAAAAAAACCCAAAAAACCTCCCAAAAAAACAATAATTTTTTTTTTAAATCATCAATAAAATACTACATTTCTGTCTCATTAAAAAAACAACAGTTACAAGTAAATCTCATCACAAACATGCTCAACCTACACTTACAGGTCTCATAAAAATGAATTAATGGCTCTGTCACACACATATCGAGTTACCCACCAATCAAACATGGGCATTTGCTGGTATTTTTAGCAGCAGTGCTGCAACTAAACATATTTCAGACAACAAAGTATTAGTAGCAAGCAAAAGATTTCAATCATCCAGTAAAACCACCACCATGGATAGGTTTGTATTAAGGACCAGCAAATACCAACAAGACACCATAGATGAAAAGACTGCTTGGTTAATTTATGCCACAAATTCTTCTTTTCGCATTGTTAACAATAAACACTTCATTGATGTGGTTGAGTCCTTATGACCAGGCTACACTCCACCTGGTAAAGCAGACATTGGTAGAAGGTTGCTAGATGCAGTGTATGAGAAGGAACTTGAACAGTGTGCAAGAAATAATGAAGGGAAATTTGCCCATTTAAGTCTTGATGAGTGGAGCAATGTACACAATTCACTAATATGTGCCTGTGTAACAACAGAAGATGGGGTTGCATGTCTTTCAGAAACAATAGATATGTCGG